TAAACAATCTTTCATCAAGGACGACTCAGAGACAGTGACTCCAAGGTGACCAGACTGCTCAACGAAACCGGGAGGGCGACTCTGCGGGCTTGGGAAGAAAGATCAAAGGGAGACGGAGGGGAAGGCAGGTGGAGTCACCTCAGGTTGTGTCTGGAGGGTGGGGCCCCCAAAACCACAGGCGCACAAGGTGGTGTGCGACACCTTCGCCTTTGTTGAAAGGCTTGCCGGGACTGCACTGAGGATGCCGAAGCTACAGCACAAGACACCTTCAGGAAAAAAAGGACAGGACAGCTTCCGTCCTTAGCAAATCGCACTCCAGGAAATCACATAAAAGCCAGAGCCTGATGGTAACATAAGAACATAAGAGAGAACCCAATGTTGGATCAGGCCAAGGGCCCATCCAGTCCAACACTGTCATACAGTGGACAAAACGCAGGTGCCATTGGGAGGTCCACCAGTGGGGCCAGAACTCCAGAAGCCCTCCCACGGTGGCCCCCCCAAGCACCAAGAATACAGAGCATCCCTTGCCCTAGACAGTGTTCCATCTACACCATGTGGCCAATACACCCACTAATAGCCACTGATGGACCTCTGCTCTGTATGTTTATCAAATCCCCTCTTGAAGCTGTCTATGCTTGTAGCTGCCACCACTTCCTGCGGCAGTGAATTCTACCTGTTAATTACTCTTTGGGTGAAGAAGTACTTCCTTTTGCCTGTTCTAAACCTACTACTCAGTAATTTGATTGCCTACAAGTTCTTGTATTGTGAGAAAGGGAGGAAAGTACTTCTTTCTCAACCTTCTCTATCCCATGTGTAATTTTGTAAACCTCTATCATGTTACCCCTCAGTCTTTGTTTCTCCAAGCTAAATACCCCTAATCTCTTTAACCTTTCTTCACAGAAAAGGTGTTCCATCCCTTTGATCATTTTAGTTGCCCTTTTCTGCACGTTTTGAAGTGTGGTGGACAAGAACAGTGAGCGCATCAGAAGAGCCCTGCTGGATTAGACCAGGGGTCTACCTATGACAGTATCCTGTCTCACAGTGGGGCCAATCAGATCCTCTGGAGGTCCAAAAACAGGACATAGATGCTGAGGCCTTCCCCTCATCTGGCCTCCTGGCACTAGGATTCAGAGGTTGGCTGCCTCTGAACATCGAGGTTCCCTTTAGACATCATGGCTAGTAGCCACTGATAGACCTGTCTTCTGTGGCACTTTTCCAATAATCAGACACATTCAAGGGTAGTCGAGAAAGAGAACTCAGGATTAGGTTGCACAGAGGAATAACAGACTCAACGCTCAGTGACACAGAGGAATAACAGACTCAGCTCTCAGGATCAGGTCTACTCTAACCCCATTCTTGGTGGCATCCCTCCCCTTTACTTTCTCCCACTTAAGTGAACCAGTGCCAGTGAATTTGAAAAACTCTGCAAGCACACAAAAGCTCATACCTTGAATAAACCCTTGTTGGTCTTACGGGTGCCACTGGCTTCAAAATTTATTCTTTCTAGGAGGTACACTTCGGGGACACCACGTGGGGTAAACAAAAAGTTTGTGTCTTCACAGTATGCAAGTCTTCTCCTTACCACACACACACAGACACACACCTTAATAGCAAGCCACAGTCATCAACCCAGACACATAAGCAGCTGGTTCACAACATTCTACCAATTTGATCAACCTCTCTTTTGGCTGGCTCACTCTCTAGGCTTGCAGCCCTGCCACAGTCTACCTCCTGGGTCTGCAATTTTTTCAACCTGAGATGCTAGAGAAGAGAGTTCAACAAGTGAGAGAGCACCAAGTCGCACAATGAAATGGGCCGGCTGAACACATCTTTGCAAAGTTTGGCATGCCCTGGTGGTAAGAATATCAGAAGGCCCCACTTAATCAGATGTCCACAGAAAGCTCACAGACAAGGCAATGAGCTATTACTGGTTCCTAGAAAGCCCACAGACAAGGCAGTTATCTATTACTGGTACACTGCCTCAGAATGTGGAGCCTCCAGTTAGCCTAAGGTTGCCAATCCCCAGTTATCAGAAAGCAGGGGGAGGGGGGAAACGTCTGCTCGGCACTCCATTATACCCTATGGAGACCAGTCCCCATAGGGTATAATGGAGGATTGACCTGTGGGAATCTGTGGCTCGGGGTGTTTTTTGAGGTAGAGGCACAAAAATTTCAGCATAGCATCTGGTGCCTCTCCTAAAAAAACCCCCCAAGTTTCAAAAAGATTGGACCAGGAGGTCCAATTCTATGAGCACCAAAAGAAGGCGCTCCCGTCCTCCATTATTTCCAATGAAGGGAAGGCATTTAAAAGGAACACTGTCCCTTGAAATATGATGGCCAGAACTCCCTTTGGAATTTAGCCATGCTTCTTCCCTCCCCTCTCCCGGAGGCTCCTGGAAAGCCCCCTGCCAGCTTGTCAGCCTCACCTGGGAACCTTAAATGGTAAGTGTGTGTGTGTGGCTTGGGTGGAGAATGAGTTGAGAGCAACCACTGTGTTAGAAGCACAAGCTCCTACCATGGAATGACAGCAACCTTCTGGATGTGGGGGGTGGACCTGGAAGTATCATCACAGGATGTGACTTCACAAAAATGATGTCACATCCTTGCCCCTGGCTCCACCCCCAAAGTCCCCAGATATTTCCTGAGTCAGACCTGGCAACCCTAAATTAGCCATCAGGGTTAATAGCTGTTGACAGAGCTATGCACCGCACATTTTCCCGGTCCCCATTTAATCTAATGGCTGTTGCATGGTAACATGTATTCGTTAACATCCAGCCAGATACCGATCACCAGAAAGCTGATGAAAATGAGTTGAGCAGACCGAGTAGCAATGTTTGCCATGTCAATTGTTTTGCAGCTGAACTCTGCTGGGTAGGTCTATCAACAGCTATTAACCATGACAGCTACACAGAACTTCAGTCCAGCGGTGTTATGACTCTGAGTGTGATGACAAGCAGGGAGAGAAAAAACAGGTTGCTTACCAGTAACTGGTGATCTTCTTCGTGGTCATCTGTGCATTCACACCAATGGGATCTAGTGCGCCTGCGCTGGATTTGCGCAGGCGCACTAGATCCCATTGGTGTGAAGCACAGAGACCACGAAGAAGATAAACAGGTTGCTTACCAGTAACTGGTGATCTTCTTCGTGGTCATCTGTGCATTCACACCAATGGGATCTAGTGCGCCTGCGCAGATCCAGCGCAGGCGCACTAGATCCCATTGGTGTGAAGCACAGAGACCACGAAGAAGATCGCTGCCTTCATTAAGATAGTTCTGAGGGGGCAGCCATGTTGGTCTGCGGTAGAAGAGCGAGACTCAAATCCAGGAGCACCTTCCAAGACTGACAAGACTTTCAGGTGGATCCAGGCGGGCAGCCGTCTGAAGCAGTAGAAGCTAGAGACCAACGAAGTTGTATTCAAGGTATGAGCTTCCGTGTGCACGCACACTTCCTCAGGCTATAAGCTTGGGGCCTAGACTCTTGAAAGCTCGTGCCCTGAAAGTCTGGCTGGTCTCTAGGCTACTACTGGACTTGAATCTTGCTCTTCTGCTCTCATGCGAAACATTTGGGCGTCACAGAGACAGCCGGCTAGCTACCACGGAATGAAAGAGCTTTGGATCCAGTGGCGTCTCAGGCTCACTCATGATGATCTTATGAGACTAGAGCAGTCTTTTATGAGTTTATGTTTCTCTAGAAGATATCCTGGCTCTTTCTGCACTGTATTTTGCCTCGGTTTCCGAGTGCATCCTATTCTTTTGTTCTGCATTTCCCTCCTGCTTCCACTTCCACTTTGTGTTGGGGCTTTCTCTTGTTTCTGCATTTGTTTTCCAGAAATCTGCATTCAGACCGCTTCCAGCACGCTGTTGCCCCACAGCTACCAAAACTCCTTTTGCTAAGATTCTTTATTGTTCTCATCCGCTTTCGAATCGCTAATCCTTTCTAAAGAATTATTTCCGTGAGTATTTCAGTGCTTCCCACTGCCCTCCCCTGTTTCCACCTCTTCCTCTTTAGGATGATGCTCCCTCCCTGTTCTGTTTTCTTTCCCTCCTTCTCCAAAGACAAGAGAGGGTGTGTTCTCCTGCTCAGGCAAACTTTTAAAAAGCCAGGGAGAGCATAAGAAGGAATCAGTAAATATAAAGGACTAGGGGATTCCCTGCTCCCAAATGTGTCAGTCTTGCATGTGTGGGCCTAGATTTCCCCCTCCCTTCCCTTCCCTTTTGCAAAATCATGGAGGGAGGGAGGGGTTGGGTCTGCAGTTAAAAGTTTTGAAAGATGTTTGTCTTTCTCTTCATCTTAGACAAAGCAGCCAGTTAGCTCAAAAAATGCGGGTTTTGCTTGTAGATGCAGAATGCATATAGAATACACAAATAAATAAGCCGGGGGGGGGGGGATACCAGTGCAGAGGCTTGACTCTTCAGATTCTCTGGAGCAAGTCGTCAGTGCCGAAAGGGTCAGGCTAGCCTGATCTTGTCAGATCTCAGAAGCTAAGCAGGGTCGGTTCTGTTTAGTAACTGGATGGGAGACCACCTAGGAATGCCACGGTCTCTGCGAGAGGAAGGCCACTGCAAACCACCTTCGAGCGTCTCTTGCCTCAAAATCGCTAGGAGGTCACCATAAGTTGGCTGCGACTCGGTGGCACTTTACACACATACACACAGAGAAGGTGTTATATTAAATGTGAGTTTGATTGCACCCATGGCGTACACCTGGGATTGCTTCATTCCATGCCAAACTCTACATAGATGTGCATGGCTCACATTCTTTACCCTACCATTTCGGTACGCGAATCGTCCTTTCAACCACGCTTCCAAAGAGAAATGCGCTATTTCTGCCATTTTGAGTGATCAAAGAAAGGAGGAAAAGAATGAAGATGAGAAATGAAAGCCACGTGACAGACACATCAAAATGGGTCATGTCTCCAAAGGCACCCAATAAGCCAACGTTAATGTGTTATCATATAAACATCTTGGCCTACCATACAAAGAGCGGGGCCAAAAAGGGTACCTGCAAGAGGTCTCACGGAAAGAGATGTTCAGATCCCAGTGTGCATGGATCCTGTTGAGAAAGAAGGGAACGAGAGAGAAACGTTTCAGTCACAGGTACCCGAAACTATGAACCATCCACTCCATCTGAGAGATGTCCATGCTCATGGCTCAGTACAGAACGAATAGTTTCCTCATCTCCTAATCACAGTTAAGAGTCTGAGAGCCAGCATGGGCATTTCCCTCCACTTTCCAGCACTTGCTGCGGTGTGGTGTTACATCTGAACAGAAGTTAAAGCAAACCATGGTTGCCTGAAACCAGGGCTTGCCAACAAGCTACCAACCCTGGTTTCAAGCAAACTGCAACCATGTACCATGGTTAAGGCTGATAAAAGGAGAAGGATTTTGCACAGGAGAAAGAGAATGGGTGAGTTCATCTTTTATTTCCAATCTCTGAACTGTCTGCGATCAGTCAAACAGGAGTCCGCAGGCACCTTAAAGACTAACAACACGTATTTCTAGTATCAGCTTTTCTGAGTCAGAGCTCACTTCCTCAGATAGAATGGGAAGGAAGAAAATCATCTGCCACATCTTTTGACTGCAATCAGTCAAAGCAGGTTTTCCAAGCCCCTCCCTTCTCTTAAGATCTCCCAATAAGACTGTATCCAAAACACCATAGGACAGGCACCCCCAGGAACCAGTTCCTTCTAACAGTCACTCCGGTGCCGATGGGCTCATCTGTCTCCCTCTTTTAGAAGCCAGGCAAAGACTTTTTAAAGAAAATTCAGCCAGGTTTTTTATAATGGTGTCTGGGGATTTTTAACGTACTATATATTAGAACGACAACTATACATTTTATCTATGCACTACATTCCTCACTTCCTTCTTGGAACCCAGGTAGGCATGCATGGTTCTCTGCCCTCCATTTTATGCTCACAATGACCCTGAAAGATAGGTTAGGCTCAAAGAGTGTGTGGACAGTCCAAGGTCACCCAGCAGCCTTCCAGGGCAGTGTGTCTCTCACTCCTAGTCTGATGCTCTACTGCACCACACTGGCGCTAGGCTTTTATTGTGTCTGGTCTTTAAATCTTCGGCTAAACTGCTTTCTGCTATAAAAGCGGTCTAGAAGCAGGTAAGCAAACCAGTCAATCTGCCGCTTAAAATGGATGATCTGGCCAGCATCTGTCTCCTCCTGTGTACAGGGTCCTGTTCCCTGGTAGGAGACGGCGCCTAAACAGCATGCCGAGGCAGGAAGCAGGAGACGCTTGAGCCTGGCGCACATGAAGGACGCCCAGCCGCTGCCTTGCCTCCTGCTGTTTCCCCTCTGCTCCCCACACACACACACACACATACTCGCCTCCTTCCAGCTGTAAATAAATCATTAGCCCTTTCCCCCGCCCTGAAATTAATTCTGCATGTTCCGCCTGCTAGCTGGAGAGACAGGACTCCAGACGAGAGGCAGCCTAAATTTAGACGCTGATAGGCAGCGGAAGAGATTTTTCCCACTGCCGCCGGCAGCTCCAGGTAGCAAGCGGCACCATCTCTGTCACCTTCGTAAGACCGACCTTTTGCGGGCAAGCCTCCAAGGGCTGCCTGGAGCAAGCCATTCCGGTTTCAGAATCAGGCTCAAGCCCGACGGGCCAGACCGTTCCAGTGCCACTTGTTCTCATGCCAGTTTGATGTCGTGGTTAAGTGTGCAGACTCTAATCTGGGAGAACCGGGTTTGATTCCCCACTCCTCCACTCGCAGCTGCTGATGTGACCTTGGGTCAGTCACAAGCTCTGGCACAGCTGTCCTTGAAAAAGAGAAGAAGAAGAAGAAGAAGAAGAAGAAGAAGAAGAAGAAGAAGAAGAAGAAGAAGAAGAAGAAGAAGAAGAAGAAGAAGAAGAAGAAGAAGAAGAAGAAGAGGAGATTGGATTTATACCCCGCCCTTCACTACCCAAAGGAGTCTCAGAGCGGTTTACAGACTCCTTTCCCTTCCCCTCCCCACAACAGACACCCTGTGAGGTAGGTGGGGCTGAGAGAGCTCTTGACAGAAACTGCTCTTTTTCAAGGACAGCTGTGCCAGAACTACGGCTTGCGCAACGTCATCCAGCCAGGCACAAGTGGAGGAGTGGGGAATCGAACCCGGTTCTCCCAGATTAGAGTCCGTGCACTTAACCACTACACCAAACTGAGTTCTCTCAGCCCCACCCACCTCACAGGGTGTCTGTTGTGGGGAGGGGAAGGGGAAGGGAAAGGAGTTTGTAAGCCGCTCTGAGACTCCAAGTGAAGGGCGTGGTATAAATCCAATCTCTTCTTCTTCTTCTTCTTCTTCTTCATGCCCCACTGGGTCCCCAGGGCAACTCTATGTGACATGCCATGCAGAGAGGAACTGGCCTGGGGTCACCAAATGAACTCAGGTCTGCTGCCAGCAAGGGTGATGTCCTACTTCGCCTGGATAAAAGTCCATTGGGAACTGGGCAGATGTGGGTTCAGCGCTATGCCCTCGAAATCCGAGCCTGAGCCAAACACTTGCACAGGAAGGGAGCAGACGCCTGCCGAAAGATGCAAAATCTGCCAATTTTGTGTCATTTGGTCCTCAGATACGGAGGGAACGCTTCAAGGGAGCAGGAAGCAGATCAGGGAGGGGAGAGGAGAGGAGAGGGCAGCACAGGGAATGAATTCCAAAGAGGTGCATGCACCAGATGTTCTTTTTCCAGAGACAGGTACATGCCTTGATCAATCAGAGAACAGAAGGGTGGAGAATGGCACAAGGCTACAGGAATGGCTACAGGGACCATAGGTTGCCTACAGGAACAATGGTTCCAAGCCACCTCCCAGAATGTCTCCAGTTCGAATCCACACACGGCTAATTGACTCACCGCAATAAGAGATATATATTTTTGGGCCCAATTTGCAATCTCCACTTCCAAACAAGCAAACCTACCCCATCTCACCCTGACCCCCTCCCATCCAAATCGACGTTAAGGCACACCCCTCCATCTGACATTTCTTTGCGGATCACGCACTCCCCCAACTACACAATTCCTGTACAGAAGCACTTACTAAGAGCCTAATAAGAGTAGCAAGACTTCAGCAAGATTAACCAGCAAGTACCCTGCCATTTTGCCCCCCCCCCCAACACTGCAACCAGAGGACACCTCTGCTCATTAAACTCTCAAACATATTGCTGGTCCAGTTTTTTTATTAAAAAAATCAAAAAGGGGAGTAGACGCATCCATAGAGGTCACTCAGTGGCTGTGAACCACGATGGGTTAATGGAACCTCACCACCAAGACGCCTGTCTTATTATACATGTAGCTGCAAGAATATTATATGCCAAATACTGGAGGAAAAATGAGGTACTTTCAAAAAAAGAAATTATGAACAAAATACTTGAAACAGCAGAGATGGACAAACAAAGTAACTTTTATTTTGTAAGGACAAACTGAAGAAAACTTTGAGAATACATGGTTAAGATTTTACAAATGGATGGAAGAAACCAACTGAAATACAAGGAAATATGAACTCTTTTTTTTTTTAGTTATAAGCAACGATATATTTTAAAATACAAGGTGGAGAAAAAAATTGAAAAATACAATTTGGTAATGTATGAGGTAATTTAACAGACAAATCAATGATGTAAACGGAAGCCCCCCCTTTTTGTTGTGTGTATGTTTGTTTGTCTATTTTGTGTTTGTCTTGTATGGAAAATAAAAATTGAAATCGAGTTAATGGAACCTCCATGTTCAAAGGCAGAACTCTGCATAACTGAGAGCCAACAAGAGGCGGCGTCTAAGGCCTCCGTCCCCTTCCTGTAGAGCTTCATTGACCACATCAAGAGAAGGATGCTGAGCTAGGACCTTTGGTCTGATCCAGCAAGGCCTTTCTGACATTTGCAAAGCAACCCGCATCAGTAGGGCTCTGCAACTGGGCACAGCCTTCCGGGACACTGTAATGTTCTCCCAATAAGGTCTCGTATGGCTCAGCCTCAAAGTCTGCTAGGCGTCCATCGGAGTGTTTTCTGCAACGGGAGGGAAAACCAATGCCGTCCAGATGCAGTGGGGTGGGGGGTGGGGAGGGAAGAGCACATTTTCCTACCTTGGCAACCGCAGCTATCTGCCGAGCTGGATAATTAAACACCCATATTTAAACAAATGAATAGGTAAGAAATGAAATTAAATCCCAATTATCTTCAATCTCTCTCCCCCCCCACACACCCACCCTTTTTCTTTCCCGGGTAGCTTAACCAAGTGCTCGCCTTGCGTTTCTCTAGTTTCTATGGTGTTATCTCCAATTAGATTTCTGGGGCTAATGTGCGTTTCGCTTTAGCGGGTTATTCATTCAATTGAAATCAAATTACTAATAATTTGCACGCTATCAAGCGGCCCGAGCGGCGTCCTTGGGTGGGTGGGATAGGGGAGCGGCGCGGGGGGGGGGGCTCATAAATTACTAATAATTACAGAGAGAGAGAGAGAGAGAGAGAGAGAGAGAGAGAGAGGGCGACAAGCAAACAGCCTGCTCATGCTCCTCTTTCTGCTACAGCCTCCCCACCACCACCACCAAAACCCTTCCTCGGATGTGCAATCAGCTAGAAAGAGTTTAATAAAAACGCCCAGATGGGTCCCACAACTGGAAGCGAGCTTTCCGGAGAAGAGGCGCCCACGTGCAGTGTTCCCTCTAAGCTGAGTTAGTGTGAGCTAGCTCACAGCTTTTTAGCCTCCGGCTCACACACTTTCGTCTTAGATCAGGAAGGATGGCTCCAGAGTAAACTGATGCAGTGGCCAAATGGCTCGCTCACAACTTTAATGCCAGTAGCTCACAAAGTAGAATTTTTGCTCACAAGACTCCACCGCTTAGAGGGAGCATTGCCCACGTAGGCAGGGGAGGGAACAGAAAGAGGACTGGCTCGTTTCCAAGCCTATGTCGAAAGATGGACTGCCACTGATGTTCCCACATGTTAAAAAAGACACCCAGAAAACTAAGAGGACAGACTTCAGAAGCGCCACAGATCCTGTGAGTGCTCGCTTTCGATTGTGGGATGTCATCAAAGCTGCTGCAACACTCTCCAAGCTTTAGAACAAATTTTGA